AGACAGCTGGTCATTTCCATCCTCTTAGAGGGTCATTGAAGCACTTGGAGGTTTATCTGTGCCCTCAGGGACACCTGAGTAATACTCCTGGTTCCTGTAGTCTGCAATTTTTGCTCTGGAAATCCATTCCTATTCCCACACCAATCAAAGGGTGTTCATCCCAAATTGTACAGCTATGTCTGTAGAGATTCTCAATCATCCACATCATGGTAGTTCCAAAAATGCTTTTTCAGGAGGCAAGTTTTAGCTATATGGTTTGGGATGAACGCACTTTGAATGGTGTGGGAGCAGGAATGGATTTCCTTCCATTTCCCAGTATCCTGTCAATGCTGAAGAAGCTTCTTGGATGAGAAGCAAAACATCTTCAAAGAAAAAACAAGAAAGTCCAATTGCCTCTTGAAAAAACACCTTTGGAACTTTCATTGTCTAGGTTCAAGTAATCAGTTGGGGCTACAATAGCAATTTAAGCAACGTGTGTTCAACAATGTTATCATGGAATTGTGAATTTTCTAGCATTTGCAAGAGAGAAACTGAGGAAAAGCAAAACAATTGACATCAACATATTTTGGATGGAAAGCATGTAGAGATTATGCAACCTAAAACATTGATTTAGGATAATGGAAACTTAGCTTTAAGTCAACACGTAACCCTGAAGTCCACCAAATAACTTTAGGTAACGGTGCTTTTCCAGCCCAAGTTAAATCACAGGACTGGTTGATAAAATGAAGAGTAAACTGCATTTGCAAAGTCCCCAAAAAGATGGGAAATACAATAATACAATGAAACCTTCTGCAGTGAATTTCAGATCAATGGATGACATTTGATGAACAATTGATGATTTAAATAAAAAAATTTCACATGAGGAAGAAGAGGAGAAATTGAGTAGTAATTTTATGTAGGTAATTTTAGTATAAACAACAATATTAAGTAACAGTGATGAATTAACTTAATCATCTTTTCTTAGGGCTATAATAGGTGCTCTCAAATATGTTTCTGAAGTAATCCTGAAGCTGGAAGCAGGCTTGCCAAGCATTAAAGCTCGGGCATGGTCCAGAATATTAACAGTTATCTCAGAAGATGATTTCCATTATTGTTAATGTTATTATCCAATATGGATTGTAGGAATAAAAACAGTTGGTAATAAGTTTGCAAACAAAAGGTTATTACTTATGTTTCACACATTAATATAAAAACCAACTGGGACTTGAAGATGCCATGCAGATGATTAGTGAAAGGATAACCAATATGAAACATTGGAAAATTAGAAAGCATAGATCACATGAATGTGCACCAGTTGCATCTGAATAGCACGTGATCACAGGATGCTGCAACAATTATAAATGCAAGGATTGGTTACAAAACTTTTTTTTTAATACAATCATAAGTTTAAATGGTTGCTTAAAGGGACATTCAGTAAGTAAGAAATACCTGTATGTATTGCATTAAGATGTCATACAGTATTTTTACATACTGATGATGTTTAGGTAATCCTCGAGGTATGACAAGCCATTTAATGAACATTAATAATTAGAACATATGACCCGTTATGACAGCTACATATGATGGTTTCAGTGGGCCTGCAATTTTTCACCCTTATGATCCACCACAAGGTCACTGCAGCCCAGTGACGTGCGGTGAGGTTTATGGCCAGTGAGGCAAGTGGGCAAAAGCCGACCTATTCTGCCGCCCTATGTCTGCCAGTGCCAAAGCCCCGGTGCGGCTTTCCAAAAGCCCCGCCAAAGCCCTGCCGCTGAGTCTGCCATAGAGCGGGACGCGTCCTGTTCTGTGATGGGCGCGGTGGCATGGCTTTAAAAAATAAAAAATAAAGTGCCAGCTCACACGCCAGTAGAGGCGGGTAAAACACACACACACACACAC